ACACAGGGAAGAGGTAACTATGGGGAGGAAGAGGGAGGGGAGCTGTTACATTGTGGGAGATTACAATCAACATCATGAGACAAAGTATATGTGAGTTGCTGTAAGGAAAATGAATTTGCTCTGTAAACCTGAACCCAAATCACAATAAAAATTAGGAGAAGAAAAAAGTAAGGTGAGGGTAGCAGGGTTGAGGGAGGGCTCTCAGAAGAGGGCACATTTAGGTAAAGATTTGAATCCTCAGGAAGACTTCATTTGATGAGACTCATCCTGACTCTCAAATAGCCTTCGATAGGTTTTCCACAGGTCAGCACAACCAAAGAGGCTGTGGTGTGACTGCTAGACTCCCTCTCATCCCAGACCAAGCTACAAATACTGCTGAACCAACAACTGCCAACTTATTTTTATAAAAAAATTTTTTAGCTACTTAAGTTCCACGTGGAAGTAAACTGATCATGATCATACCGCTACTGGTCTGTTTCCCAGGAAGTTCAGGTCACTGTTCTCTCCAAACAGGTAACCTTCAGGATGACTTGAGTCAAACTTCTCTCCTCCCATAATGAAGTGGCTGGCAAAGTAGCTCCCTGGAGAGGGACAGACAGAAGAAACCAGTCAGACTGAACAAAGTGAAAAACAAATAAATAAAAATAAAAAAATCCCTTCAAACAAATAATTAGGACAATTTCTAAGCCCAGGGGTGTGTTCTTTTCTTACATGGGGAAAATGGCACAAAATGAGCAAAGCCAGAGAGTGGAGAACAGAAGATACAAACATAAAGTACAGCACTGCTGTCCTTTTCACATTCTTTAACTGAGCCCTGATAATGACCAGTCTATAAAAGAACAGACACCACAACCCACAGCGATGAACATGCACATATGTATTTTGTTACTGATTTTTTCTTATAGACTAGAAACAATTATTGCAGGAACTTAACTACAGGTATTAGCATGTGTACACAGGCATGTATTTCCTTACCTAGATTTTCAAAAACCAGGTTGTACCCGTACATAGAAGTCTCAGCACCAAACTACTACTATACTACACCCCCAGGACCATCTACAATAAAGTCTCTTTATACTTTAATTTCCTTCAAAAGATAGACATGATTGTTTCATAGAAAAACATGAATTTAGATAATACAGCTATCCCAAGCTTTACCTACC